AGGATTTGGGTTGCTTAAAAACTGCAAGGGACACTTTCTCAACTCTCCTGATCCATTCAAAGTGCTGTCTAACATTTCAGAGGAAATCTAGATGGAAGAAGAGGAACCGAATACCTCTGGTTACACAAATAATAATCTTACATCCCACCCTGCTATGGCCCTTCATAATTCTAGTGGGCTTGAACATACTTCGCACCTCTATAATACCACCGCAGACTTGGCTGGACAACAATCTACTGATTTATACCTTCAAACATTGCAATTAACTCCTAGGGGACCTATAAGCACTATCTCCCCAGTCGAAGCTTCCTCATGATTTGTCTTTTCTGGAACTGCAAAGGCTTGGGCTCTAAATCTCTCCCTGGGCTCATCAAGGAAATTAGGAAAAAGTGCTCGGTTGATTTTCTTGCTCTGTTTGAAACTAAATGTAGTGGCACTCAAGCTATCTTTCGATGCAAAAAGTTGGGCTTCAACAATTTCGACTTTGTTGATGCAATGGGTTCTCGAGGAGGAATATGGGTTGCTTGGAATGATGTGGGATTCAATATCTCTGTGGAAATCAAATCAACTCAGTTTATTCACGTGTGCGCTGAGAAAGGTGGCTAGGAGATGTTCATCACGGCTGTTTATGCTAGTAACAACATGTTCTGTCAAAGGAAGCTTTGGTTTGACCTTCAGGAACTTAATATACCTTCGGATTGCCCTTGGGTTATTGGAGGCAATTTTAATGCAACCTTATTCCACCATGAATGATGCTCCTATGCTCTTAACCCTTACACTATTGACAAGGAGTTTATCAAGTGGTATGATGACTTGGAGCTTACTGACTTAGGCCGTTGTGGTCCCTTCTTTACTTGGCATAGAGAGGGTTGTGAAAGCCGTATCGACAGAGTGGTAGCCAGTGACAAGTTCAAGGAGTCCTTCCCCGAAGCCATTATGAAGAACTTACCTTGGTTCAAGTCTAACTACCAGCTAGTTCTTCTTACTCCCACTTCTGTTACCACGCGACGTAAACAAGAGAGGCTGTTTCGCATGAATGCTGCTTGGTTTCTTCATGATGACTTTGACACAATGGTCAATGATACTTGGAAAAAACATCTTTGCTGGGAAGAGAATGTTAGCTTTTTTACTTCGTAGGTGAATAATTGGAGTTTCAACGTGTTTGGTCATCTAGGAAGACAGAAAAATCGCATTCTCAACCTCTTAGATGGCATCATTAAAAACTATGGCTCCACCGATTATTCTTCCTCTATTGAAAAACTTCAAAGATATCTTTGGATGGAGTTAGAAGACATCCTCATTAAAGAAGACTTGATGTGGGCCCAGAAAGCAAAATGCAAGTGGTTTGCTATGGGAGATAGGAATACAAAGTTTTTTCACGCAAAAGCAAATGGGAGACGATGCAGAAACAAGATTGAAGCTATTAAAGATGAAGCTGGTATTTGGACTAATGATGTCTCTCGAATTAAGTACATGGCCACTAACTTCTTCACCAACCTGTTTAGCAACGAGGACATAGATGGAGCTTACCCGCAAATTGATTGTACCTTCGCTCCCTTAGACAAGTCTTACAAGGAAGATCTTCAACGTAGAGTCTCCGAGGAGGAAATTAGAGGAGCAATCTTCAGTATGGGAGCACTTAAATCCCCTGGTCCTGATGGTTTAACGCTCTCTTCTTTCAACACCAATGGAAGATGATTGGCCCCTCAGTGATCAAAGTCATTAATGCTGCCTTTGAAGACCCAAGCACCATCCAAAGACTCAACAAAACCTTCATTGTTCTTATTCCGAAAAGGGAGTATCTGGAAACTCTTCGTGACTTTAGGCCTATTAGCCTTTGTAATGTCATTTATAAAATTATTACGAAAGTGATCTCTAACCGCATTAAATTCTACCTGCCATAGGTCATCTCTCTTAACCAGTGTAGCTTTGTCCTGAGCCGGACCAGCTCTGACAATATAATTGTTGCACAGGTAATTATCCATTCCATGAAGAATATGCGAAAGAAGAAAGGATTTATGGCAATCAAAATAGACCTCAAAAAGGCCTATGACCGGGTTAGATGGGATTTTGTTCTTAAGTGCCTTGACGAGCTATAGATACTAAGCAACGTTAACATTGTTATCAAAGCCTGCATTACCTCTGCTTCTATGCAAATTCTTTAGGAGGGAAGTAAAGCAAAAGAGTTCACTCCCTCTAGAGGCCTATGACAAGGGGACCCAATCTCCCCTACCTTTTTGTAACTTGCATGGAGAAACTTGCCCTCTTAATCCAGAGAGAGGTGAATTCGAGTAGTTGGAGACCTATAAGATTAGGTAAGGATGGCCCTCCTATTTCCCATTTATTTTTTGCTGACAATTTATTACTTTTTGCAGAGGCAACTATGGACCAGGTCCATGTTATCAAAAGTTGTTTACAGAGGTTTTGTTAAGCGTCAGGACAAAAGGTCAATGTTGACAAGACTAAAGTTTTCTTCTCTAGGAACGTAAATCACAATAGAACCAATGAGTTGAGTGAGGTTTTAGACTTCACCGACACTGCTGACCTCAGCAAATATTTAGGAGTTCCTCTTCACCACAATAAGGTCTCCAAAAGAATGTTCCCATTCGTAGTGGACAAAGTTCGTGACAGATTGAGCAATTGGCAGATTTCCCGTATCTCCTTTGCGGGCAGAGATACACTTACCAAATCTGTTATTGCTGCTATGCCAACTTATGCTCTGTAAACAACTAATCTACTTGCACCCACCTGTGATAACATTGAAAAGAAAGCTCGTGACTTCTTATGGGGCTCTTCAAATGAAAAACGTAGAATGCACTTGATCGCTTGGGATAAGGTCTGCACTGACAAGAAATCTGGAGGCCTTGGTATGAGGTGTATCAAACAACATAATCGCGCCTTCATGATGAAGCTTAGATGGGGGCTAGTCAATGATCAGGAGTCACTTTGGGTCCGTGTGATAAGAGCTAAATATGGGTATGACAACGAATTACTTCCTCGCATTAACCCTCAGAGAGCTGGCTCAAATAGTTGGAACGGCATCAAACAAAATTGGAGTAAAGTCGAAAATGGGATTGAACAAGTGTTTGACTCAAAGGGGATTGTTCGCCCATGTTGGAAATGGGAGAAAAGTGGCTCCTTCTCGGTTTGTTCAGCTGACTGCTCTCTTAATCCTAACATTGATGTGTCGCTAGGAGCTTGGTCAACCATTTGGAAGCTAAAGATTCCTCAACATTGTAAAACTTTTGCCTGGTTATTCCTTCATGACCGACTCATCATGAATAGCATGAAACAACGGAGGGGTCTTCATCCCACTAGTATGTGTGATCGGTGCAAGCTGAGCAAGGAAGATGGGGTCCACACTCTACGGGACTATCACGATGTTCGTAGCATGTGGGAGCCCCTCATCCACCCAACAGTACAAAATTAGTTTTTCTCCTCTACTGGTTTGGACTAGTTAGACATGAACCTAGAAAGGAAATGTGGCAATAAGGACTGTGATTGGAAGAGCGCTTTCATCATTATCTGTTGGCTTGTTTGGCGGGACAAGAATGATCGGATACACAACAACTCCTGCCCAAACATAATGAGCACCTACTCGAGAGCCATGGCGATCCTTAACACCATGAACCGAGCTAACAACATACTCCACAAAACCAATCTCACAAACAACAGGGTGCACAGTGTTGATGCGGACCTGTTGGTGGAGCCTGTCGAAGTATCCGTTGATGTCGACAGAGCCTTCTCTCTTAGTAACTACAATGCTGCTTGTGGGAGAGTTCTCAAGGATAAGAATGGTTCGGTCTTGGAAGGGTTTCAGTTTCGGCTTACCTTCGGAGATGCTTTATCAGTTGAACTTTGGGGCTGCCTCATGGGTTTAAAGAGAGCCTGGGACTGAGGTCACAGGAAGGTGCTGTTACGCTCAGATTCCCAGGAAGCATTGAAGCCTCTGCAATCGAAACCCCCTGACCTACACGAGGACTTCAACCTGATTATGGAAGCCAAGGAGATGCTGCAACGAGACTGGCAAGTGAGACTTCAATATTTAGCTAGGGACGATAACTAGGTGGCACACTCCTTAGCAAAAAGAGCCCTGGCGAATCCTTATGGCCTTCAACTTCTGGGTCCTGTTGCTATCAACCGCCTCATAGTCGTAGGCCTTGGAGTTTAGTTTTAGTTTTATTTTCCTTCCTTTGTATTAAAAAAAAAAGGTCAAAACAATTTTTAATTTTTAAAATTTTTCTTTATTTTGATTTTTTTTAAATTTTAAATTATAGGTTTTGATCCTTTAAATTTTTTTTTAATTTAAAACATTAGTTCGTAATACTCAACAAAAACTTAAACTATTTTACTCCTTGAATACTGATAACTTTATTTTTGCTCCCACCCTAGATGAGTGCTCAACTCCGTCCCATCACTTTTGTTTTTTAAATTTTTTTACAAATTTAAATATTTAAGAAATAAATGAAATCTTTGAAAATTTTTAAATTGCTACTTTTTAGGTGAATAAGTAATACTCTTGGAATAAAAATCAAAATGGATCTAAATTTTTAGGGGCGAACTGTATAAACCCATTGTTTTTTTTTTATTTGTCCAGAGTATCCTTCTACCTGAACAGTAAGAGACTAATCTCTCCAATTACTGTCAGGCGCCGTAGCGATGACCTCTCCCAACAATATTTTTTTCATATACAATACTCTTAGGATCGAATCCAAGACATAATATTTAAGATACCAAAAGTCTTTTTTACTTAGGGGATGCTTGGATAACTCCAAAAACACTTCTCAAAAGTACTTTTCTGCAAATCGAGACAAACTTTTCTACATATTTATTTCATATACCGTAAAAGTACTTTTAAAACTATGATTTTGTTTCTACTCAAACAGATCTCTCAGTGAACACTTGTTGGTTGTATTAATCCATTGTCAGAGCAAGAGTAATAGCGCTAGTAACAATAACAACAACAATAGTGGTATAGTAAAGCGAGGGCATTCCAAGTCCTGATCGCATTCGGAGTTGGAGAAACCGAGGAAGGCATGGTATGATCTTTGACCTTGAGAAGGGCAGTGGACGTGGATAGTTCCAAGTTTGAGGGTTTTGCTAAAACCTCATCGCTGTCTTGTTCTTCGAAGCTCTCTGTAATTTCGAAATGTATGCACTGCGCCGAGCAGTACGAGTGTTTGCTTCTTCAGCCATTGCAACGGGGCACCTTGTTTCACATCCCTCAACCTTCATTCGTCAGTCCTATGCCACTGCCGCCACTACCCGTCGGAGATCTAAACGCGTCGACGAACCTTCGCCACCTTCAAAAGACGACGCCGTTTCTGACAGACAGAGGCCCCCCGTGATTCCGTATCAGCCGAAGGCTGCCAATTTCGTCAATATCATTGGTCAAGTTCATATGCCCGTTCAGTTTCAAACTTCTCCCGATGGCAAAACTTGGGCTACCACCGTTCTTATCCGGGAGCTCACTCCTGATTCTTCCCATCTTTGGTATGCAACTTTTGCTTTCATGCTCTTACTGAGTTGCATATGATTTTTCTGTTGTTAATTTTTGTGTGGTTTTTATGGTACTTTTTTTAATATTTCAAGGCATATTGTCCATATTGTTAGTCGAACCACTATCTCTCATGTTGTGAATCCCATTATTAACTCAGCAAATGTATATGCCACACGTTGTTGAAAATACTACTGGTGCATAAGTCATGTATTTTTATTGACAGGTGGCTTCAGGTGATGCAGTGTTCTATTGAATTATTTGCACAATTGGGAGCTATGAAAAAATGGATAGATGTGGTAGATTATACCAGATGAAATAAATTCCAAATTTCATAAGAGTGAGGGTATTTCTTGGTTTTTAATAGCTAACTAAAGTTGATTAATAGGAAAATGATTTAGAGAAAGGGGGCATGTGCTAATGTGTGTTTCCTTGTTGTTCTTCATTTGATAAGCTTTTATATTTTTTGGGATTGTCAGATTCGTGCTCTTAAACCAACTTGATATTGGACATTCATTTATATGAAACTCAAATGTTTCATTGTGCCAGAAGATTAGTTGAGTTGTCCAAAGGCCGACATCAATTACATTGTTCGTATATTAGGAGATACATGATGTTATATCTCTTATTGCAAGTAATATAACTGACGTCTAAGTCTATTTTCTTTTATATGAAAATTGCTTTGATTGTTTTTTTTTTGGGTACTCACTACGTCTATTTGGTCATGGAAATGTTGAAATATGGTCCCTAGGATGTTTTTAGTTCTATCTACTATTGATTTCATGCCCATCTCCTCTTATTATATAAGGATTCCAGTAAAATTTGAGGGTGATTTGGCTCATGTTGCTGCTTGCCATCTGAAAGAGAATGACTATATACATGTTGCTGGAGAGCTTGGTGCAAATTCATCTTATTCAAATGAAAGTAAAGGTCAAAGCAATATCCAGGTATATTCCAATCGGAATCCTTAGGTTCACATGCATTATTGGTTGCCATAATTGATTGTTGCCACGGTAGATGCATTTTATTGTCCTTAATTTTGTTATTTGTATATACTAGAGAAAAATTTAATTTATAATTTTGAAGCTATTTGGGTTGTCGTGGTTTAAGTTGAACCCATATTTGTTACCAACAAAGATGGCAAGAAAGTTATCATTTGTTCAATATGTTTATCTCATGCACTTGGGGCCTTATTACACATGCGTGAAAGCTGTTAGATTGAATATATACTTCACATCTTTGGTTTAATCATATTAGGTTTTGGCACGAAGCCTCAACTTTGTCCAAGGATATCCTTTAGTGGAGGAAATATCTGCAGCATCAAAGCAACAAGGAATATCAGATTCGTCTGGTAATCCCTTGCTTCTGGTTACTATTTCTTTCTCTTGGTATGGAAAATTGGGGATTAGATGAAAATAACAAGAATATGCAAGTAGTTTTAAAAAAATTGTCGTACATTTAACTACATGGAATCTATATCATGCTTATTCAGATTGGATCGACTACAGCAAATTTTCAAAAACTTATTGAGTCAAATTTAAGTCTACAGAAAAGCTAATTTGAGAAGCTTCATTGTAACTTGGAAATGGTTCAGATAAAGTGTTGAACTCTAAGTGTGTTCAGACTCGATATCTGTTTCAAGTTGATGGTTCATAATCTTATTGTATTGTATGGAAGGCTATATGTGTTTCTTGAATCAAAGTAAGGAGCTGTGGTTTATTGGGACCTTGCTGTCAAAGGGATGTTTATTCCTTGTGTAAATGGTGAATCTATTTTGATTACATTTGAAGGTGGCCAGGCCTGGTCTTGTTTCTACCGCTTGTGTGCAAATAATCAATCACAAGTGATGAAGGATGGTTGCCATGAGATCAGTGAGCACTGATATTATATTCTATCGGTTCAATGTCAATGTAGAAGAAATGTGTTGTGTGTAGAGATCTAAAGGCCAGAAGGACGAATCTTAAGGGCTATTTTGTAATATAATGAAGTTATAGAGTTAGGATGGGGACTGAACACCATTTAGAAATGCCAAGAGAACACGGAGAAATGTCAATAGGCTGATGTGTTGCCTGAGCTTTGAATATTCAAAATAATTAATATCGTAGCATGGGTCATTAGAATCTAATGTATGTGTCCTAATATTAACATTATTGTATACTGCGTAATATTATAGTAGTGTCAAGAAAGACAGTCGGACAAGATATCATATATATGTTACAATCAATAATGGTGTTTTTCTTATGTTGAGGAATCATGTTTTTATGAATACTCATGGCAATTGCAAAGAGTGAATTCTCTACCATAGCAATATCTCATCGTCTTTTACTTTACTATTCCAACTCTGTCTAATATTAGGAAAACCCAAGTCTACATAATTTTGTTATGGTATTAAAATAGCATGACTAGTTTTTAGTCTGTCCAAGCTTGTAACACCATCATTTGCTAGTTTGTGCTGTCCTGCTGCTTGGTAATATAAATGAACTTGGGAGTTTTTGACATTTTGTTGTGTCTATCTTAGCTAGTGTTAAGCTTGGCGGTTGGCACACTGACTGATACTTTTTTTTTTTACCTGATTTATATTTACAGACAGAACAAAGAAGAATTTTGGCAGTACAAAGAACTCTGACTCTGACCCTTTGTTGAGTTCTTGGAGAGACCTTCTAAAAGATCCTAAGCAATGGTGGGATTGCCGTGACAGTAAGCACAATGGATTGGTAATGATTGATGACCTTTAACTTGGCATTTTTCTCTGACTGATTTGTTCTGGAAACCTCATTTTTTTTCAAATATACATATAATAGGTAAATTTTAATTACCCTGACTTTAAGCGCAAGGATGGGAGTCATGCACTCTGGCTTGATAGGGCCCCAAACTGGGTTCTTTCTGATCTCGAAGGATTGGAATTTGATGCTTTGATTCTGAAATCCAAACAAGCAAAGGAACAGAAAGGTCTGTATGATTACACTTCTTATTCACATGACCTGATCTTCCAAATTCTGATGCATCCTAAGCATAGTTGGCTTGAGTAGAGTTAATTTAAAGATATTCTCGTTGTCTTTGGCTCCTTCAGTTTGTATCTAGATTGAAAAGAATCTGCTTTTTAATTTTTTTGTAGCCTTGATATGCCCTCCATATCATGTTCGCTGAAAATTTTAGAGATCTTTGGCACTTTCATTTCCTCATATGTTCATTTTTGTCATTTTCTTTGGGATATGAGTGTCAAGATTCTTCATGTCCTATTACAATCCCCTCCTTCGCCCAAAAAACATGTGACATGGAACGGAAAGAATTAATATATCATTACCAATATACAATATTAAATCTATAGCAAAACACAGAATTCACTAAACATGGGTCGTGGAACCTGTTCCTCCAATTTTATTCAATGCCATTCTAAATTCTAGACCCTAATTCATTTTTCTCAAATAAGAATTCTAACCTAATTCTACTAGGACAAGTAATTGAATCCTATGGCCTGGGTAATTTTAGCTTAAGGCTCAAGATATACTAATTCAAGACAAGAAATAAATACTAATCTTACAATGGGATAAGATGTCCCTAGACCCAAATGAGTGAATTTAGAATCCGAATATTCTAAAAATAAACCATTAATCTCCAAAGACAAACTCCGATTTTCATGTTATAAATATGTTATGAATATATGTGATTCTCATTATTACTATTTGTTCATGCTACGTCAATATGTTTTGAGGTCATATACTTCCACTTGGTATAGATGATGCAAACTGGAGGGACGTGGTAGAAAATCCTGATAAATGGTGGGATAACAGATCAACAAAGGTAACCTCAGTTTCCCTGTTATTTTTATGGTTCTTTTTGGTGAAAATTTGCATATTGATGTTACAGTTGTATTTATATTGTAGAAGGCTGCTTGTTGTAGTATTTAATACTCAAGTTTATGTATGGGATTTTGTTTATTTCGTCCCTTTTGTTTATCAGAAAACTGAAAGATCTCCTGACTTCAAGCACAAAGAAACCGGTGAAGCATTGTGGCTCAACAGTTCCCCAAGTTGGGTACTGCCAAAGTTGCCACCTCTAAAGGAGAAAGAAGTAGAACCTAACGCCAAACAAGAACTGATTTCATAAGCTGACAGCACAGAACCAAGTCTTTTCACCATGCTCATGTTTGATGTTCCTCTGTTGCTACCATTCTTTTTTACTTTACCTTCATGAGATCCTTACAGTCTGATTTTATCTCACCAAATTTTCTATTATACTGATATTTTCAGAATAGATTTGTTCATGAATAGATGTAGAGATTATTTCAAAGGGAAATAGTAGTCTAGTTTTAGTCTGAAATTTTTCTGACCCCCAGATGTGAACAATTTGTACAAGGATTGTGATTGAGCCACTTGTTGATCATACTTCATCCCTCACCCCGCTATACCATTGATGCTTAAACGCCAAGTTGTCTGTGATCTTTGTTGAAATTCATACGTGATGTTTTACAATAGTGGTTTAGTTTAGAGAAATTATCTAGCGTCGTTTTCAAACATAAATGATACTAACTGTTTCAGTTTCTTAAGAGGGGTTGTGTGACTCGTACCATGTATCATATGGATTTAAATGCAATGAAATCTAAAGGGGCTATTTCAGTTAAAAATAAGAAGTGGTTAGATTGAGAGTTTACATTTATAGAACAAGTATTTTACAGAAATTAAGTCATTAAACCAAAGAAAAGTATATACGTATTTGTTTTTATCAGAAGATAATGAGAAAGCTGGAAGAAACTTGGGAACCAAAGTAATGAATAAAGCATTGATCGGAGTTTGCATACTTTTGGAGAAAAACAAAAAATGATTAGAAGAATAAGAAAGTTGCTTCCTATTTCTTCTCAATGTAAGTGAAATATGAAAATGATCAGAAAGAAGAAAGGATCATCACGGCTTGTGGAGAACCCTTCCGGCCACCAGAGCAGCTTCCATGACAAGCTTGATAACTCGAATAACATCATCAACATCACATTTGTTTCCTTTGAATGTAGCACCTCCATTATTTCTGAAACTCTCCATACAATTTATGAATGTTTGGCTGCACTGTTGGCTCAAGTAGTCATCTGCACACCACACGACATATCCTTTTTCATGAAGTTTTAAGGTTCTTTCAAATGTACTCTTTGTTCCTGAACTAGAAAACTAATTTACATATTCTAAGAAAACTAATTATGACCTTCAGTCCTATTTATAAGATCTCGTCTGTAGTCTATAAATAAAGTCTTATAATTAGGAATAGAGGGAGTATATCAATTATTTATAAAAAAAATGTGTGATAGTCTCTTTAATGTATTCTCATTAATAATTTGTAATAAAAGCTACTACCTCTAATCTTAAATACAAGAGCTAATAGTTTTAATAGTAGGTTTCATGGTGATTGAATGTGTTAAATAGTTTTCATTTTAAAGTATATGATTAACGATGGTATTTTAGGAAAGATAACACTCATTTATTATAAATAACTAACTTAAATAATTTTTTAATATTTACAAATTAATTATCTAATTCTTATATTAAAGATCGGAGGTAGTATATAAAAACCTACATAATTAATAGGGATGGTTTAAGGAAAACACTATAAATTTGAAAGATTAATTGGACTAAAATCTTATATTTAGAGTCAAAACAAATCTCCCAACTAACTCATATTTATGGACTGACGTGAGCATTTGTTCACAGTAGTCAAATTATGTTAAAAATACCAGGTATCATTTAAGTTTTATTTCTGCAATAAAAAGGATGGTGATTGGGGAGGAATTTTAATATTTCCTCGTTTGGTTTGATCAGTACAACAGGAATGGATGAACTTCCAGTGTCATCCTTATTTGGTTTTCAAGGGATAGGGAAAGAAAATAGTAACAAATTAACTATTATGAGTTATGACCCCATTAAACTCAACTTCACTATCTATCTAAACCTAAATGCAAAAGATTTGAAATTTTGCTAAATTTCAGTGGGTTTGATTGGAAACAAGTAATATAATTTCCTTTAATCATATAGCATGTCACCACCATGTCCGTTGTTCAGACAAGTAAAAGAAAGATCTGTTAATTCAGCAGCTATAAAATCATAATGAAACATGCGATTTTTTTTCATTAAATAATGAAACAACAACTTTTTACAGATGTCAGATGTAACAAATTTTCTGACCTTTATCATTATGCTTTCCAAGTGATAAAGATCAAATCAGATTTTTCTTCTTTAAAAAAAAAAAAAATTTCCTTCTCCCTTTGCCCATGTTCCCCTAAATGTGGATAAGTAACGGCGAATGATATGACAACGGGCAAGTTGCTTTAGTGACAATGCAATTTATCATGTTGAAACCTTAAATTTGAGCTTGACATTAATATATTTGTGTGCATGTATGTATTTAAATTGTATAAAATGAAAAAAATGACAATCGGATATAAGAAAAATTGGGCTTGGCAGTTGGGACGGATATTAAGAATATTAAGCCGAAAAATAGTTGAATATATTCTGGTCCCACGAAGTACATCGTGCACAAGGCCACAAAAAATCACGATTGGGCTGGATATTAGGAATACTCATGTTCCCTCTCCTCTATATATATTTTTTAAAGCTAAGTACCCTCTCCTCTATTAAGCCACGGGAATAAAATGTATTCCCTCACCTCTAAAACACTATGTCGAGAAAAGTTCCTAGTTAGAATCTGACCTAACTTGAATCAAGACTAGACAAAAACAAAACATTAGGTAACTGAAAAAACAAAATGTGCACCTAAAATAAATATGAAAATTACATGGGAGGAGCGGCAACAGGCCAAAATCTAGTCAATGTGGTTGGCAATGATTTGTTGCCTTACCTGCTCAATGCTCATGTTAATATTATAAACAAGGCACTAGATATCAGACTGTTGTTGAAAACATTGACATAATGGTTCAAGAGTCAATAGCACTGAAGCCGAGTTAACTCGATCATTATTAAAATAGTATAATTTATTAAAATATAAAAACAAAAATCATATATAATAAAAATAATAATATTTAAATAAAGAAGGCATTAATCCATAAGTAAATGAAATACATGCACAAACCATATATGATCCAATGAAACAGTTATCAAAGCATAAATATTACTCACTGCTTTTCTTTTAATCCAAAATGATATAATTTCATGATCAATAAGGGGAAAAATCCAACCCAATTGATCCGTTCAAAACTTTCGACTAAACTAGCCAAAGACTAGTTTTATTGGTTAATCAGTCTGACCAATCGATCAGGGTTGGAATTTAATATTATGATTATAAGCCAATAAATGGAGGGTTAAAATTATTTCCAGAGGTAATTAGTGACTTTCATGAACTCATCCTTTTTTTTTTTTTAATCTCCCCGAACTTTTTCATACGGAGTAAACTAGCTAAGGAGGGGTTATTTTTTTAATTTCCATACTCTAAAGAAGACGGAAAATTAGTTTTTCGCTTTCAAAGCATATATTCTTGGTCACACAGAAAATGATTTTCTTTCAAAAAAATAATTCCTCGAATATTTTCCTTGTGCAATGATCATGTCGGGTTAAATCATATCGATTTACGACTGACTTTATTAAACAAAAGGCTATTATATATGATCGAAGAATTTAATTGGAAAAATATAATTTTTTGAGACAATCAAAATTCAAAACAAGAGTACGTAATAGACTAAGGTGGTGTTTGGATAGAAACCAAACCATAGTTTCAGAAGTAATTTTACGGTCTACGAGATAAATATGTGAAGGAGTTTATCTCGATTTATGAAAAAGTGCTTCTTTCAAGATATCCAAACTCCTCTTAAATCGCTATATTACTCACTTTTCCATTCATTTCTAGAGATGAATGAATCACAATATCCTATCATCCACCCAACACCCTAGTTTCCTTTCAATTCAAGAATTATTATTGAAAAAGATTGGTTGGCTTGATTAGGACTCATCACCGATCCCACTAACTCTCGTGTCCTCTTTTACTTTCTAAATTAGTTTTAATTATCACATTCTCCTGCCAGATTGATCCTTTTGATCCATGTTATAAGACACGTTTAATCACCTCATCAGAATCAATGAGATGTGGTTAGATAATTAATTTTGTTTTAAAATGGAATAAATTTCTAATTTACCTATATTTAAATAGAAAATTTATATGTTTCTATTATATTTGCTCTTATAACCAATGACTTTAAATAAAGGTAATATTGGAATAACTTAATTATCATATATCTCCTCTGGAAAGTACCTAAATGAGGACAAGAGAGGGTATCCAATAGCATTGGTTTCCAGGAACAGTTTAATTTCTCAACACGTGAGATAACTAAACTTTAAACCACTTTCGCTGTGCTGTCGGTGGATTTTCAGTCCAATATAATTATCTCTTTCATCTATTTTGATTATGGTTTTACGATTATCGTGGCACTAATCATCTACTGTTCTAACTGACATGAATTGAATGATGCAATACCATAACAGTCATAACATCAAAACGGACGCATTAATTTCTTTTAGTTGAACTACGAGGTTGTTTCAGATTCAATTCAATTGATGATGGTACTACCAAATCCAAACCGCTAGAAAGGGGATGCCTACAATTAATCCCCCTCTCACGTCGATAATCTGGTCGGATCCGATAAACTCACTGAGCTATCAGAATCTGGAAATTAACCATAATGAAAAGACTTTCAAGAAATGGTCGAGATGATACGTACTGTTTTTGGCTTGAACACATTGATCGTGCTTCATACAACAAGCATCAAGGCCATCGCAAGGAGCCTCCCCTGGACACCCACTGTACAGAAGTCCGCAGTACTTTCCATATCTCAATAATGGAGGCACTATTATCATTCAGAGATATCGTGATTAAAATCAATATAAGCGTAATAATTAAACATCGAAAAAGAAAAAGGAAAAAAGAAAGAGGAAATCGGTAAGAGCAAGTGAATGTACCTGAACAGAAGCTGGATTCACATGTTTTGCTGCACTCCTTGCTCTGCATATGAATCAAAAAGCAAAGAAAATAATCAGAAGAGAACGAAGAATCGATTTCCGTGGGCCGAAACTGAATGTGGTTGTGTGTGGATGAACAGATTTAAGAAGCGAACCACAGAGACAGCGATTCCGGTGGTTTCAACTCCAATGTTAAGGGCAAAAAGGGGGACGGAGAAGAAGTTGAGCAAAAATGTGAGAGAAAACACGAGAGATTTCATGGATGTGAGCATTTTTGCCAGGTTGAATTTTAAATTTGAGAAGCTTGGTTTTGCTTAAAGCTCTGATTTATATGAGAAAATGAAAGGGACCGCAGATTGTGGTGAGAACTATTCAGAGTCACACAAAAAACTTGCCCAGATAGCTCAGAAGTCAGTACACAGAATTTAGGCTGTTTTTGTTTTGTAGTGACTCGTGATTCCTGCTATTATTCATCATTATTTTATACATAAAAAAATTTCCTAATGCATCATTAGCTTATAACTTTTATCAGATCACATGTTCTTATATAATTATCTACTCCCTCGAGTTAAATTTAGAAGGCAGTGGAGATGTTTCTTGTGATTTTATCAAGGAACAAAAAACCGGACCGGGAACTCAACCGGTCCAGGTAGTGGGTTAAGGGTCACTGGTTAGACCGTGGTCGAACCGGGGTCGGACCGGTCATAATAAAATAATATAATTTAATTCACAAAATCAGTTAGGCACCTAAAGTTTGGATTAAATCTATTCCAGAATATATAATTTACAATCAAAATATCCATCACCAATCCACAACTAAACAAAAGGAATTAAATTATATATGTGAAGATCAACATCAGCACAACAGCAAAAACTAAGCTCACAGTATAATCAAAATTATAATGCAGAAGTACAGAACGATAGCTTCTCTTCTGTACAAAATTAATATCAAGTCAATCAACGACTATGGATCTTAAATCTCGCTCTCCTCCCTTCTCAAATCTCACAGCTATGGATCAAGTCAAACAACACTCTCCTCCCTTATCAAATCTGAAATCTCACGACAGCAGTCACAGGGTCATAGCACAGAGAGAAGCAGCTCTTCGATCTTAAAAAAAACAACCCAACTAAAAAGGAAAGGTATTGAGCTTACCCACAAGGCTAGAGCTCAATGCCTGAATCGAAGGTTGAAGCAGGACGTCCGTGAATGATGAAGGTGAAGCAGGATGGACTATGGAGACTCATGACTTGCGATGGGAGCTGTGAGGGCGAACGGTGAAGGCGAAGTCGAGCTACAAATCTGAAGCAATGTGAGCGGCGAAGGTGAACGGCGAAGGCGAAGGTGAAGGCGACCGGCGAAGGCGAAGTAGAGCTGCGAATGCGAAGCAATGTGAGCGGCGAACGGAGCCAAAGAGGAAGGAGTGCCATTGTCAGTGATGAGGCGACGCCATAGATCCGATTTTGTTGGGGTTCACGGCACGAATCTGGGACTTGGAGGAGGGGGAAGAGATCTCAGCGATTTGGTCACAAATGGCCAAATGGGGAGGACTGGAGGAGGACCGGCAGCTTGAGTCGAGATTGGCACCCTAGGGAGGGACAAAGAGTTTTCATTCTGGTTTTTTTTGGACAAAACGACGTCGTTTTCTGTGGCTAGGCAACCAAAAAAAAAAACATGTGAACCGCCCAACCGGTTTTTCCCGGTTCAACACCGGTTTTTACCGGTTGGACCGGTTCCCCACCGGTTCAAACCACCTCCGGTTTTTTCTTCAAACCAGACCGGACTAGCGACCGGTTCACCGGTTTTCCGGTTGAACCGGCCGGTCCGGTCCGGTTTTTTTTACCTTGGATTTTATATACAAGCTCTCAATTTATTTTAAGATAAAATAGAACCAGAGATATTATTTTTAAGTCACCAACACCTTAATCCTATTTATGTGAATACTTTGATTAGTAAAAGAGGTAGCTAACTAGTTTGTAAATATTAAAAAAATTAGTTAAATTAGTTACTTGTAATAAATGAATATTATTATTTTAAAACATCACTGTTAATCATGTACCACTCTGTTTTTTATTATAAGTCACTTGTACCTTAAAAGTTTGTTTCAAAATATAAGTCACTTATAGTATAATTAATGATCTTTTTCCAATTTTACCCCTATTAATTTAATAAAAAATGAATTAATATCTCTCTCTCAATTTTTCATTTCTTATGCAATCCATCCCCTCCCCCCTCTCTCTTAACTTTTAATAAGAGTAAATATGAAAAAAAAATTGGTTAATTTAATATATTTCTTGATTTACGGGTTTGGGATACAAGTGACTTATAATAAGAAACAGAGTAGTATATTTGAATAATCTCTTGATATAAATTTCTTAACATGTACAATTACCATAGAGATTACTTGAAAGTAAAATAGATAAATATTGAGACAAAATAAATTAAAGCCTCTTATGATCAAATTGAATACCTAAACAGTCTTCATATTAAAAATAGAAGGTAATTTTTTTGGTGTTTTTAACACTTTAATTTTATTTATAATACATTGAGTATTATAAACATAAATAAGATTAGAGTATTTGATATAATTAAAAAAAAAATTAAATTGTGCTAGATGCATCAAGAAAATAACATCACCATAATTGATGTGTCATAAATAAGATGAAAATGTTAGACGCTAGTATTTTGTCATTTGTTTTATCTCCTAAATTTATTTATTTTTTTGGGGGAGAATCAACATGATATTTTTTAACAAATAAGTGAATAACTGACTTGATTATTTTTTTTAAAAAAACCTGTAATTAGTTATATAATTCATACATTTAGCATTGAAAGAGGATAATTCATACATTTTCCATGCTAGAGCAAATGGGCGTAGGAGGAAAAATAAAATTGAGGCTACCCAACAAGACAACGGAGAGTGGACGGATGATACTGACAGAATAAAACAACTTGCTATGGATTATTTTGTAGAGTTATTCAGGGATGATGGACTCCATGTTGATATCCGAGAATGCAACGTCTTGTACACACAAATGGAGAACACGCAGTTGGAGAGCTTAAGTAGAAGCATTTGCAGTGGAGAAATTAAAATGGCCCTTGATGCTATGGGTGCTCTAAAATCCCAGGACCAGATGGGTTAAATGCTCTCTTCTTTCAGAGTCAATGGGACTTGGTAGGTGATTCCGTAATTAGAATGGTCAAACATACTTTCAATGACCCCACTCTTATTGAAAGCATTAATCACACTTTTATTGTTCTCATACCTAAGAAGGATCATCTAGAGACTAAGGGATTTCAGGCCTATCAGCTTATGTAACGTCATTTACAAGATTATTACCATGGTTGTGGTAAATAGATTGAAAGGTTGCCTCCCCAGCATAATCTCACCCAATCAATATAGCTTTGTCCCTGGTCGTACAAGCTCAGATAACATTGTGGTGGCACAGGATTCGTTCATTCAATGCGTAACATGAAAGGCAAGCGTGGTTACATGGCCATCAAAATAGATCTAGAGAAAGCTTATAACCGCATGAAGTGGGATTTTGCAATGAAGTGCATTGAAGAAATGGGAATGCCGGAGTCAATTCAAAAAGTTATTCACGCTTGCATTTCCTCTCCTACAATGCAAATTCTTTGGGAAGGGGAACAAGCAAACAATTTTAAGCCTTCACGAGGCTTCAGGCAGGGAGACCCACTCTCACCTTACCTTTTCGTCTTGTGTATGGAAAAGTTGGCCCATATCATCCAGAACGAGATCAATACGTGAAAATGGAAACCTATCAGACTAGGTAAGAACGGTCCTCCAATTTCTCATTTGTTTTTTTGCTGATGATTTGTTAATTTTTGCAGAAGCTAGTCTTGAACAGGTGGAAGTAATTAGGCATTGCTTGAATATGTTTTGTGAAGAATTGAGCCAAAGAATCAATCAAGCAAAGACAAAAATTTTCTTCTCTCAAGTCTGGGAAGATATTTGGGAGTCCCTTTGCAACATGATCAAGTCTCTAACGGAACTTACCAGTATATCGTTGATAAGATCTCACGTCGACTAAGCAGTTGGAAAACAAATAGCCTGTCCTTTGCAGGTTGTGATACTCTTGTTAAAGCTGTCATAAATGCAATGCCTAATCATGCGATGCAGACAGCTTATATTCCAGATAATACTTGCAACAGGATAGAGAAAAAAGCAAGAGATTTTCTTTGGGGGTCGTCTGATGAAAAAAGGAGGATGCATTTGGTGTATTGGGACCGTGTCTGTAATGAGAAACAGGTTGGAGGACTGGGCATGAGACATATCAAACAACAGAATAAAGTATGATGAAGCTGGGTTGGGGACTTATCACCAAGAGAGATTCCCTTTGGGTAAAGGTCATCCGACACAAATATGGGTGTGGGTCAGATCTTATACCCCATATTAATACGAAAAAACAGGGGTCTAATACTTGGAGAGGGATCAAAAATAACTGGGAGCATGTCAAAGCGGGGCTTCAAGAAGTCAAAGATAACCAGGGGAAGATCTATGCTAGATGGAAGTGGGAAAAAAGTGGTTGCTTCACAACCAAATCTACATACAAAGCTCTAAATCGCCCGTGTGAGAAACCGACTACCAACTGGAACAATATCTGGAAATTAAAGGTTCCATAGCAATGTAAATCATTTGCGTGGTTGTTGTTTCATGAACGGATCACCACCAACCAACGAAAACTGAATAAAGGCCTTCACCCAATGGTCTTTGTGATAGGTGCGACAATAAAGTGGAAACAGTAACCCATGCGTTGAGAGATTGTACGGTGGTTCAGAAAGTCTGGGAGAATATTATCAAACCTAAGTATTTATCCCAGTTCTTCTCTAGTAATTTACAAGATTGGCTTCAGCTCAACATGAGAAAACACATAGGCAGGTTCAAAGGCGATTGGAGAGGACTTTTGTTCATCATGTGCTGGCTCTTATGGAGAGCAAGGAATGAGTTCACTTATTCAAATATCAGTACAGACCTGAGTGCTTTGACACCTAGAGCGTCAGCCATTGTGCAGAGTATGATGAACTCGATAACAAAGCTGAAAGGAGTAAATATGAACACGCCCCAGCAACAAGTCACTAAACCTATCTCCAAGCACACGCAGGCAGCTTTTGCCGTAATGGTTGATGGTGCGTTCTCGGCCTCCACTGGTAGGGCGGCTTGCGGGGGGCATTATTGTTGATCACCAGAACATGAACATACGAGAAGGCTTTCTTCTGAATTTGGAAAGTGGCGACCATCTCACAACAGAACTCTGGGGGTGCTTGATGGGGATGAAATGCGCATGGGATATGGGCCTAAGAGATGTGATCTTACGCAGCAATTCCTCAGAAGCTGTACAAACCATTCTCGCCGAAGAAAACC